TTTTTTTTTTTACAGTACAGACCTGTGTTACATATTTTTACAGAACTATATTTTTTTTATTACAGTAAGAAATGAATTTCTCTTTGTTTACAATTACTGTAAATAAAATATTACAGTACATAAAAAAATATACATAGACATCATATTACATTACTTGATAAGCGGAATGAAGGCTTCAAAACTCGTTCCACTGGATTTTTCAAAAAATCAATTGAAATTTCCAAATAAATCGTTTAAAATTGAAAATTACGAGTATAGAATTTTCTCAAACAAGAAATCCGGAAAATAAATTAAAAATGTCTCGCGAAAATGAAAAAGAAACCATGAAGCACCACTCAAGCATTAAAAGACTCCTAAAATCCACTCACAATGGACACTTAAACTTTCCGCTCAGCACTTTACGATACCCACCTAAAAGGAAATCTCCAGTGTATTTTTTCCTATTAACTAATGCTAATGCATTGTTTGTGATTGCAATAATATTTAATGTGGCTCTTTGCGGCGACAAATACGTCAGTTTCCCACACAGTTTGGCGCTGAGGGAAGGGAAACGGAAGGGATGAGATGTATTTGTCTATGGACACGGGCCGGTGCGTAGGAAGATACGTAACTGCGTGCCGATTCAGGATGTGAAGTAAGACCAAGGCACTCACTACTGGGTGAGGGGCCGCGGCTTTGAAACAAGGAGCGCCCCGTCATTATAATAGGTGCCGCCAACTCCTCAGAGAAATCGACATCAACCATTTTCAGAATAAATCAAACGTGTCTTTACACATGGTAAAATACTTTACACTGGGGTTATTTATCTTTATTAGTTGGAGGGATTTTTCTCTCTATTGTGGAGGTATGGAGATACCTGGGTAATTGGTTTTCATGGGATGTGGTTGGTACATTCCAGCCAGACAAAACGTTGTAAAATAGATAATGCGGTAATTATGAAATGTTTCATGAATACCAAGTGATCTGGGAATTAATGAATGTTTAAAGTCATTTTTATTGGAAATTTGTCAGTTAAAGCGAGTCTTGATGGCATTTTGCTTGAAAGGAGAGTGACATGGAATGCAATTACTTGAAACTTCAATCAAAATATGAACATTTAGTGGCAAACTACACATAGATTTTCGGATTTTCACTAATTTTTCGGAAATAATTGATCTAAAATTCAAGTTTCCATTGATTTCTTCATCAAATTTTCCAGTGAAACCGTCTTTTTGTTGGAAATTCCCTCACCCACAACTACATCTTATGAAATTTTCCCCTAAAACCGCCCCTCCCTATCGAGAAACAACACGAAGAGAAATATTCAATAAAAATTACGCATCTTTTCCGTAATTCCGGAGCGAAATCAGTGATAGATATATCAATCAATCATAATTACCGTTAAATTGTGAAGCTGTCAAATTTAACATAAATCTTAAAATTTCGAAATATTCTATCAAACAATAATTTAGGTAGGAAGATTGACGATTATTTGGATAATCAAAAATCAAGTACCCAAAGTTAGAATTA